ATTGTTGTTGTTGTTGTGTGCCGTCGAGTCAAACCCGACTCATAGCGACCCCTCCTTGGGTTTCCGAGGCAGTATCACTACGGAAGTAGGATTGCCCAACCTTCCTTCCGAGGAGTGGCTGGTGGGTTTGAACCGCCAGCCGTCTGGTTAGCAGGCAAGTGTCTTAGCCACTATGCTACCAGAGCTCCTGGGGCTGTGATTAGGGTGGAGCAAATGAAGAGATTCTGGAGCAGCTGTCCAAATTCAATTCCTTGACCTGGGTGGTTGTGTCAAGCCTTATAATTCATTAAACTGTATGTTTGTCTTGTGTCATTCTGTACCTGAGCTTTTGGGGATTTTTGACAATAAGAAAGTAAGAAGAAAAGAAAAAGTGTAAAAAAAAAAAAAAAAACAGAAGGGCATTAGACCTTCCAGAGGTAAGCTAAAGAAGAAACATAGGAGACTCTGAGAAAGGCAATAACTAACTATGAGAATGTTAGAAGTGAATCTTTCCACTTCCCTACTGTTGTGGTTTAGCTCTTTCTACCAGTCTCCCAGTTACTCTTTGTAAAATCACATACAAAGAAGGGTTCAGGGAGTTATTTAGAAAGAGAAGGGGAAGCTGCACCATCCCATTCACTCCTGCATTCATTTAGACTTACTGAGTACCATTTTGTGACAGATTCTGCAAGGTTCTGGGACTACAATGATGAATAAGACTTAGTCCCTCCCCCTTGGAGCCCACAACCAATCTTGGGGAGATAGAAACCCCAAGAGGTGGAGTCAAAGTGAATTCCAGAGGTTCTGGCAAGATGCTGAAATAGCCAGACAAGTTACATATAACCTTTGCGACAAAGAAATGAGAAACCAATTGAAACAGATAAAAAAGATAATCCTGGAAACCTGAGCTTTGAAGGGAAGGATAAAGAACTGGATTAAATATCAACTAGTAGAAGAATCTGAATGAAAACAGTGAATAAGGAGACAACTGTAGCTTGCGGACTATTGGCTGTCCCAACTGCGTGGCCAATTTGAATATTTATAAGTGGCATTCTGATCCAGGCAACAACATAAGAATTGGCTCTGTTCACCAAGGACTGCATGGGCAACTGCACTGGTGGCTTAGAAAAGAAACTACAAAGGAGACAAAAGAGCTGTGGACTGCCGGCTATCCTGAGGTGCAGCCATTTTTTAATATTTGTAAGCAGCATTCTGATCTGAGCAGCAACCTAAGAATAGGCTCCACTTGCCAAGGACAGCACAGACAACCACACTGGAGGCTGATAACTAGAAAGGTGAGATATTCTCCTTGTTACCCTTATACCCCACACCCTCTTGGTAAACAGAGGTGTGGCTATCCTATACCTCCACCCACCTTCTAGACTTGCAGAAATTCCATCCCACTCTGTGTAGCTTGACAGAACCTGAGTGCCCTGCCCCATACTGGTCTCCCCTCCCCCAGTTCTGTTCTGTTTGTTTTTAAATTATTTTTTGTTTCTTCCTCATTTCCGCCTTCTTTTTAAATTTTTTTTCTCTTTCCCATCACTGGTTCTTGTTTCAATTTTTTTTTTCCTTCTTCCCTTTCCTGGTTTCCTTCTTTTCTCTTTTGGTTCTTCCAATCTCTTGCTTTCCTTCTTGCTGTTTTCTCGCTTTTTATTTACTATTCTTTTAATCTTGCTCTTTTCTCTCATTTCCCCATCTCCATATGTTTTTCTCCTTTTTGCTTTATCTCTCTTTCACCTTTTTTAAAATTATTTTTAAATTTTGTTTTCTTATTTATTGCCTTTCCTTTTTTTTTTCTTTTTGAGATGGTTTCTATTTGTTTACATGGTTAGTGTTTTTTTTGTTGTTGTTGTTCTTTTGGTGGTTTTTTAATGTTTTTTCTTTTTAATCTGAGTGGGAGACAGCACTCATTCCTGCCCAACCCAACCATACCTGCACCTCCTGCAGCTCCACCCACTGAATGAGGGCCACCATTTGCTTCTGCACCAACTGATCAAGGTTAGATGGTGGCCAATACCAGCCCAACACACCCTCAACTGCTCCTCATGAACAGCTAACAGAAATCTGTGCACACATTCTCATTCTCTATCACACCCACGAGGAGAGAGGTGGTGAGAGTCTAAGTGCTGCCAAGCGGAGACTAGAGGAGCACAGTACCCCCTTCACACAGACAGAGCAAAAAAATCTTGGGCAAATCACACCAACATACTAGCACCAATTAAATATAAATATGACATCACAATGTCTTGGAGACAATGACCATCCAAGTCCACACCAAGAAGCAAAATAAGGTACTACAAATCAAGGGATCAGGATACAGACCCAGAAAAACATCCCTGAGGAAGAAGCAGCTTTGGAACTCCTTGATAAGGAATTCAAAAGAATTATATTTAGGTACCTTCAATGGTTTGAGAGACAGATCAAGGAAAACACTGACAAAATTAAGGAAAACACAGAAAAAACTCTACAATAATTTAGGAAAATAATATAAGAATATATTGATAAAATAAACAAAAAATTAGAAATAATACCAAATCAACAAATAGAAATCCAGAAGATTAATATTCAGATTTTAGAAACAGATAACACATTAAATGGGCAAAGGAGTAGAATCAAATCAATGGAAGACAGAATTTATGAGATTGAAGACAAATACCTCAATACTACTTTGTTAAGGGATCAGTCATCGAAAAGATCAAAACAAAATGAAGAAAGCTTAAGACTCATGTGAGATACCATCAAGAGGAACAACCTACATGTATAATCAGAATTCCAGAACAGAAAGAGACAAAAAAAGGAAAAAAAAAAACAGAGAAAATTTTCAAAGATTTATTGGAAGAGAATTCACCTAATAAGATGAAAAATGAGAAGATCCGATTCAAGAAGTTCAGTGAACCCCAAACAGAATAGACCCCAAAAGAAAATCACTGAGACATATCATAATCAAACTCACCAAAACCAAGGATCAAGAAAGAATCTTGAAAGCAGCACAAGAGAAATGAAAAGTTACCTACAAAGGGCAACCAATAAGACTAAGCTCTGATTTCTCAGCAGAAACCATGCTGGCAAGAAAAGCAATAGACTGAGATATATTAAAAAAAAACTCTAAAAGAAAAATAATCCAACCAAGAATTATATACCTAGAAAAACTGTCCCCAAATATTATAGTGAAATTAGGACATTTCCAGATAGACAGAAATTAAGAGAATTTGTTGAAACCAGACGAACCTTACAAGAGATGTTAAAGGGAGTCCTTTAGACAGACAACCAACAATAGCAGGCAGCTGTTGTTGTTGTTGTTATGTGCCATTGAGTCAGAACTGACCCTCCTTGGATTTCCTAGGCAGTATCACCATGGAAGTAGCCTGTGAGTAACACACATGATGACATAATCCAGAAACCAACCCAGTTACAGAAGTATCCAAGGTAAAATAAGCTCACAAGGCTGTAAACAGAGAACTAGAGACATCAATTAGTAAATGAGGACAACTACAAACCAAAAAGACGGTATAAATAGTGTAGGAACAAAGAAATCAGCAATGCCGTGAAAAAATACATAACAAAGTGACAGCAACAAATTCATACTTATCAATAATTACACTGAATGTAAATGGATTAAATGCACCACTCAAGAGATAGAAAGTTGCAGACTAGATTAGAAAGCATGACCCCCCTCAATATGCTGTCTACAACAGACTTACATCAGACACAAAGATAGAAATACACTAAAAATCAAAGGTTGGAGAAAGATATATCAAGTAAATGTCAATCATAAAAGAGCAGGAGTGGCAATATTAATTTTCTTAACCTTAACACAATCAAGATAATATTATAGGGTAAAATTAAAAATTGCCCCAATCCCAAATGAGCAGACTTGTTTGTCACAACTGTTATTAGAATTGAAAGAAAATATATATAATTTTAAGGCCTGGAAGAGAGACATGCGGTTATTTTCCTGCCCTTAAATGTGGCCAACCTAGCAATAATATTAGCAGACAATAATTATGTTAATATTTTAAAAATTATTATTAATTCAAAGTACATATATAGCCCTAAGGAGCTCTGGTGGTGTAGTGCCTAAGGCATGTGACTGCTAACCTGAAGTATGGTTCAAACCCACAAGCCACTTCTTGGAAGGAAGGTTGGGCAATCTACTTCTGTAGTGATACTGCCTCGGAAACCCAAGGAAGGGTTGCTATGAGTTGGATCCAACTTGATGGCAGTGAGCATAGCCTTTGACCAAGCAAATTCACTAACACTTGTTTCATTTGATTTTCACAGAAATTCTGAAATGTAGACAGTGCCAAATCCACTAAAAAGAACACCACAGGCTGCCTCAGAAACCTCACCTAATATAGATGATAAATAAATAATTTCCACTTCACCATTGTTTGTCACTTCCTTGCTTCCTTGTTGTGCCCCCCACATTCCTATATCATAAAACACAAAATCATAGCCTTTAAAGTGTAGTTAAACCAGTTGTCATCAAGTTGGTTCTGATTCATGGCAACCCCATGTGTGTCAGAGTAAAACTGTGATCCATAGGGTTTTCAATGGCTGATCTTTTTGGAAGGAGTAGGCCTTTCTTCTGAGGTGTCTCTGGATGAACTGGACCCATCAGTCTTTCAGACAGCAGTCAAGCATGCTCACATAGCACCACCCAGAGACCCCAGACTGAGTGGTTACTATGTGCCAAATACACAGCCTCCAAGCTAATGCTTTATGCACACTATTTCATCTAATCCTCCCTGCAGGAAAGAGGAAGGCGTTCAATTATCCACAATTTAGTACACGAGAAAACGAGACTCAGAAAAGTCCGATCACTTCTCCCACGTCAGGAGGTTAACACAGAGCCAGAATCAAAACCAGGCCCATCTGACACTAAAGTCAGTGTTCTCAACTGTATTGTAAAAAAGGCTTTCTTGAAAACCCTTCCCAGTACCCCAGTCCCAGTTCCCAATGAAGGGTCCCCATGAAGGCGGTGCTCGCATGTACTTCACTCCATACGGCCCACTCACCATCTCAGTTTTTGGAAACACATCCGGCAGAAGGAACTTTATGCTCCTTACGTTCTCGGAGTCCAGGTCTTCTGACAGTTCATAGAGCAGGTTTCTAGGAAAACATCCAAAATGACAAATAAAATCTCACACTTGCCAAAAACATCACAGTAAAAGCACCAAGTGCTTTTATAAACATTATCTCACATTTGAATGATCTCAACCTTGCAAGCAGCTAATTATTAATCCTACTTTACAGATTCAAAAACTATGAGTTGGAGCTTCTAAGTGACTTACTTAAATTAAATAATTTAACACACAGTAAGCAGCAGAGGCAGTCCTTCTGATTCCAACTCCAGTGTCATTTTCCACCATATTGGGAGGGCCAAAACACCATGTCAGTATTCCCTCCATCTCCTGACTCCACTCTAGAAATTCAGGCTTAATTTACAGGCCCTCGCCAGAGGACTGGAGACCATCCAATATAAGCTCTACCGCTGAAACGAGAGGGGAACCACTGAACCTCTGGGCACATATACAACTGACAGCCAGGAAAATTGACTATTTCACTCACATGCAAACACACAAATACCTCCGTATGCCAGTGACCTGCCTCAGGTTTTTAACAAAGTAGAAAGGATGATTTCTGTTACTGACCCAAGTGTAGCTCAGGTTCTGGGAGCTTGCTCTGATCCGAGTGCTAAGCCTGCAGTGTTTTAATCACCCAGAGTCATACAATACACTTCCATGGCTCCTCCCTGTGAAGTTCTCTGATGTAGGCATTACATCAGAGAACAATGTAAAATAGTGTTATCTAAGGTCTGACCCATCATAGGCCCAATGCTTATATTGTATCTCTTTGGAAAAAATGCCTATATTTTACTTCACATGGTATCTTCCACCCAAATATACATTTAAAAAATCTATAACTGGACATTGGGTGCTCTGGTGGCATAGTCCCTAAGGCATTTGACTGCTAACCAGAAGGCTGGCAGTTCAAACCCACCAGCCACTCTTCAGGTGGAAGACTGGGGAATCTACTTCCATAGAGATACTGGCTCAGAAAATCCAAGGAGGGGTCGCTATGAGTCGGATTGACTCAATGGCAGTGAGTTTGTTTGTTTTGTATAACTGGACATCATATGGATGATTTCTCTCCCTATCCCACAGGCATAACTTTTCCATTTTGTTTATTTGGCTCCAAGTATGCATTACTCTCTTCTCAAGATCCCTGGATGGAGGTGGAAACCCCAGTGAATCACGGTCTGAGTGTGAACTAGCCAGTTGCCATCAAGCCAATTTCAACCCACGGCAACTCCATGTGTGTCAGAGTAGAATTGTGTTCCCTAGGGGTGCAGGGGCTGATTTTTCTGAAGTAGATTGCCAGGCCTTTCTTCTGAGATGCCTCTGGATGAACTCCAAATGCCAACCATTTGGTTAGCAGCCAAATGTGTTAAATCTATGCACCAGCCAGGGACTCCATCTGACAGTGTCCCACCTGGCTCCAACCCATAGTGACCCTAAAGAACAGGGTAGAAATGCCCCATAGGGTTTCCAAGGCTAGAACTCCTCATGGAGGCAGACTGCCACGTGTTTCTCCTGTGGAGCAGCTGGTGGGTTTAAACTGGCGACTTTTCGGTTAGCAGCTGAGTCCTTCATTACTGTGTTACCAGGGCTCCTTCTGACAGTGTAAAACCAAAAAACCAAACCCACTGCCATCAAGTCGATTCTGACTTAAAGCGACCCCCACCATTGGGTTTCCAAGGCTGTAAATCTTTACAGAAGTAGATTACCTCATCTTCCTTCCATGGAGCAGCTGGTGGTTTTGAACTGCTGACCATCTGATTAGCAGCCAAATGTCTTACCCAGAGTACCCAGAATACTCAAAAGCCAAACCAAACTCACTGCCATCAAGTTGATTCTGATTCATAGTGACTCCCATTGGGTTTCCGAGGCTGTAAATCTTTACGGAAGTAGATCACCCCTCTTCCTTTCACAGAGCAGCTGGTGGGTTTGAACTGCTGACCTTCTGATTAGCAGTCAAATGCTTTATCCACCACCCCATCAGAGCTAGAGACTGGTAAACAAGAAAAGTAATAGGCTCTGCTAGGCTGAGGTGGGCTGAGATGAGCTTCATCTCAGAGTGAGAAGCAAAACAAAGGGAAACGACTCCCTGGTGTGCAAAGAGTTAATCGGTGGGCTACTAGCTGAAAGGTTGTGGCTCAAACCCATCCAGACATACTTAGAGGGACAAGCCCGATGATCAGCTTCTGAAAGGTCACAGTCTTGAAAACCCTGTGGAGCCATGAGTCAGAATCAACTGGACAGCAGCAAAGAAAGACAGAAGATTATTAAACTTCAGAAAAGCCTGGCTTCAAAACAAACGGAAGAATTTCCAGCCCCAACCTTTCATCTCAGTAGCATGTGAAGCTGAGAAATCTCGTTTTGAATCACTGTACCAATCAAGGAGGTAGATGTGAAAAAGGTCTTCATCCCAGCTTCCTTTCAAAGCCCAATGGCCTGAATGAACACTGCATGTTTCTAGGATGAAGCAGGAGGGAGTGGGAAATGCTCCTGTCCTGATCACAGCCCGCTCCTTACCTGTACAGAGAGATCTTCCTCCGGGCCGGGGGTAAGCTGTGCACTTGCTCTTTGCAGTACCCCAGGTACCGCAGCAGTGACTGCTGCCTGATGACACAGAGGAGCTCCACCAGGAGGAAAGGGTCTTCCACGCTCAGCTGCTCCTGTGCAAGGAGCTGCTCAAAAATCTCCAAGGCTGAGCGGGCCTTCTCCAGACTCCTATGGGAGAGCAAGTCTCGGCAGAGGAACTTTAGGGCCTCCACATCTTTGGCCCCCAAATGTCCATCAATCTTCAGAAGATTCCGTCGAAAATCCATGCTGCAATTTTCCTCCTCAGTGGTGTCCAGAACTTGACCTTGAGATGCCATGGCCAGCTTGGGAGAGACAGAGAAGTAGGGCATGGAGATTGAGAGGAAGGATACACGACAACCCAACTTCCAGGCTCCTCCCCCAATCCTGACCACCTCTGTTCCCAGCATTAGACTGTACAGGAAATGCTAAAAAATAAAAATTCCTAGGAGACTACTTCAAATACCCACAGCCTAGAATATTCCACCTCAACACAAGTTTATATGTTACCCTTTAGGAGGTGTAGAAGGAATATTTATTGGAACTCAATTCATTCTCCCTGATTTCTCCCAGACCAAACTGTTTCCAGTGAGACTAGTCAAGAAAGAACAGGACAGGGTCTGATGCTCAGGCCTGGTAGTCCACTGGGGCTCATAGCCCAAGTTCATTCCTGAACAATGGCAGAAATACCATTTGGATTTATGTTTTAAATTTTAGAAATAAGGCAGCATGGAGGTTTATTCTTCTGAAGCATCTTACCAACAAAGACAATGAGATGCCTTGAGGGTCATTCGTTACATTGTTAACTTTAGATGTTAACCTTGGGCAAGTCTTTATCTTACAGAAACAGAAGCCATAATCCCAGACTCCAGAAGTAAAGAGTAGTTTTAGACTGTAACAGGGGAAAAGAGACCCCAGATTCAAACAGGTTGAATAGAGACACTTTTATTAAGTCTTGGACAGGACAAAGACAAAACAAAGACAATCATCCAGGATGAGGGAAACCATCAGTATGCACACGGTACAAAAGGCTGAATGGAGTCCGCTGAGTCATGGCCATGGGCTAATTATACATGACTGAAAAAAAAAAGGGGTAATCATCACATAATCATGATTGGTGGCAGATTGATTCATCACTGTTGCAGGCGGGACTACAGAAGCAGGGAAAAGACCGTGACTGGGATATATACGTAATTGAAGACAGAAAAGGGTTACTGGATGGTTCAGAGCCTTGACAACCTAGCTAGGTGATAGGCTGAACAGACTGGGACTCACGACCACAAAGCCTGAGACTTAGCCACAAGATGGCTACCAAACAATACCGAGGCCCCAACCTTAATTTAAATTAGTAAAGGACACTCTCAGGCAGGTTCTCTAGTTCTTGGTGTGAGTATAATCTTTACTTTCAACCGTACTCCTCCTGAAGGCAAACCTGCCCCACCCTAGGTTTGTCCTGGAATTTGTTACACGTAGCCACAGTGCTGGTTCAAGGGTGAAAAAGAACCCAAATGGCATCTGAAAATTATGTCAAGCCTCAAAATGGAGTTACGGCTCCCATTACAGACCACAGCCTTCCACAAACCCAAGTGCCTCAGAATTTAAACTCTAATACAAGACAAAGTCACTCAGATCAGTTTAGGAAGGTACAAATTACCCATCAGTTTTCCATCTGACCAGTTAATAACTATGGCCTTTTCTTCACTAAATTTAGTTCTAATTAGAGGAACAATGCATTGTAAAATTTTTCACAGTAATGCTATTCACTGGATAAGGACTTGAGGTATATACTCACTGTGCATGACTTGGCTATTTTTAGAAATCAATTTAGAAAGGAAGAACATAGCAGAAAACAAAACATCAATTGAAAGAATATCCAGGGTCCGACTTGATGGCACACAACAACAACAACATTAACTATAAACCAAAACCAAACCAAACTCTTTGCCATGAAATCAATTCCGACTCATATTTTCGCCCTGGCTCTCATCTAAATTTCTCAAGTTTTATGCAATGAGTATTGCTTCTATTGTTAGAAAAACAATTTAAAAAAAAAAAAAAAAGCTATTTTTTGTGGGATTACCTGTGAGGTCTTCCCTTCAAGTATCCCTGAGGTCAAATGACCGTTTTCTTGGAGATATTTTTCTATTCTAATTAGAGGTACATTGTATTTTCCTGAAGATTCTGACCCATAGCTTTATTGAGTCACCCGAATTTTGTGTCTATTTGGGGACTGGCATATTCCAAACAAAAGGCTGTGTTGGAACCTCCCTGTTTTTCTTTTATTTTTACTTTCTTTTTCCCTGGCACGGCAGATAAACCAGGAAGAAAAAAATGCCATAGCTGACAAGTTTCTCCAAGTTTCTATGACACAAAGCAAAGTGAAAGGCTGGGCATGAGACTTGAGTGAAGGAAAGATATTACCTACCTTCAGATCAAGTCCTACTGATCCTCTGGAAGTAAGTGGTATTTAGGGAAATTGGAACTCAGTCCTCCGCGTGCTCCGAGTTCCCAGGAAGCTCCCATTTGCGCGGGAAGAGCACTCAAGACTTGTTGCTGACTGAGCAAGTGAAAACTGGATCTTGTGGCTTTTGTAACTTGATATTAATTTCCTGCTGATGTCATCATCATCGCCTGTCTGCCTTTCTCCTCCCCTTTCCTGGTGTTAGGATAACCCTGACAAACAGCGGCTCCTAAAGGCAAAGTCACAAGTTTCTTTCCCATGCAGAGCTGAGGATTTTTCCAGGTAAAGCAAAAAATCCATTGCCCACCAGCTGATCCTGATTCACAGCAACCCTGGTAGCATAGTGGCTAAGACACTTGCCTGCTAACCAGACGGCTGGCGATTCAAACCCACCAGCCACTCCTCGGAAGGAAGGTTGGGCAATCCTACTTCCGTAGTGATACTGCCTCGGAAACCCAAGGAGGGGTCGCTATGAGTCAGGGCTGACTCGACGGCACATAACAACAACAACATTTAGGCAGAGCAGAACTGCCCCATAGGGTATTCCAGACTTCAGGAAATCAGATTGCCACAGCTTTCTCCTGCAGAGCAGCCGATGATCTCCAACAGCCAGTCTGTCAGCTTAGAAGCCAAGTGCTTAACCACCGTGCCACCACATCTCCTTAGGTAAAGCAAAAGGCTTCCAGAGATATCTGGAAGCCACTAAGTGCTCTAACCTTTCCTGTGGACCCCAGCTCCCTCCTTCCTTCAACTCATTTAACCTTTAAAATAAAACCCCCAAAAGCTATTGAAATGGCAGTCAGTCATCTTAATCCTTTTTCAAATAAGTCTATACATAAATAAACAAATAGAAAAAAGTTAAACAAAAAAAAAAAAAAAGGAAATGAATCTATAAGCCTATTTGCAGGTATTGCAAAGGACTCAAATAATTAATAGTAAACGAAACTGATTCTGTCCTTACCATGCATTCAGTTCAATGGGAAAGACTTTGAAGAAATTATTTCTAATAATAATATTTATATCACATATACCATGTGCCAGGTAAAAAAAATATATTTACAATATTTACTCATTTAATCATCTCAACAACCCTATAAGGTTTACTATGTCTATGACTCTTGCTTTAAAAAGTGGAAACTGAGGCACAAAGAGATTAAGTAATTTGCCCAAAGTCACACAGCTACCTCGTAGTAGAGCAAAGATTTGAACCAGGAAGTTTGGCTTCTGAATCCATGCTCTAAGTCACTACACTAAAATTAAGCAAATTCAAATATACAGAGCTCTAGGAAGAAGTACAGAATCTTAGAAAGATGTTTTATCTCTGAAAAGAAGCAAGATTCATCATGCTTTTATTAACAGACATGCTGAAGTGCATTTCTATATCCTAGGCAACCTCCAAAGAACTTCAGTGTGTAAGAGACAAGCCCTCAGTGCTGGTCTTCTATTCAGTTGTGTATGTATCCTTAATGTTTATGCTTATATTTATATTTCATTCCTTGGGCCATCTGGGAAAGCAGTTTGCTGACACTGTCACTTCACATCTGTTCATAAAGTACACTAACTCCTTCAACTTGTATTCAATTGTATTAAATATTTACCAAGCACTTCCTATGAGTAAAGCACTGAACTGGGCACAATGGCAAAGCAAAATGAACAAAACACAGTGCCTGCCTTTAGTAATAACTGTGATGACCTCCATTTCCTGACCCCTTCTTCTCTGATTAATTATTGTAACAACTCTGTAAGTTCAGCATTATTGTCTATATTCTAGAGATGAGAAGGAGCTCTGGTGGGGCAGTGGTTTAGGCATTCAGCTGCTAAGTAAAAGGTCAGCAGTTTGAATCTATGAGCTGCTCGGCAGAGAGAGATGAGGCAGTCTGCTTCTGTAAAGATTTTCAACCTTGGAAACCCTATGGGGCAGTTCTACTCTGTCCTGTAGGGTTGCTATGAACAAAATCAGAGTAGACTCAATGGCAGTGGGTTTGGTTTAGATGAGGAAACCAAAAGTCAGAGAGACAAAATATCTTGGCACCATGACAAAACTGGGAAGAGGTGGGTATTCAGAACTCAAATCCAGGTCTATTTGACTCCATAATTCAGGCACTTGATCCCAGTGCTACTGCTGCCTCTAACACAATATGACATAATGTAACACAGTACCTGTAACTGTTGGCAAGGGCATAATGATGTTGCAATTGGGCTTCACCTAAGTGTCACAAAGCCACAGATGCGCTGGATGAATTCAGGCAGGTGTGCCTGAGAAGGCTTCTTGGAGGAGGAGGTACATATTTGAGTTAGGCCTTGAAGGTACAGGGAGAACAGAGGCAGGAAGTAAAGCCCAAGCTTTATCCTAGAACTCCTGGTACTAAAGGAAAATGGTTGAGGCCAGTTACACAAGGGAGATTGTGAACAGCATAGACTTTTGCATTCAGCATTTCACACTTCCTCTCATCCAGAACACACTGAGGTTAGGCTGATGGTGAGCTGAAAGTGGTGGAAAGAATAAACACTTCTTACAGCCTCTTTCCTTGTAGATTGCTGACCCGTGAGTCCCATATGTCCACCTGAAGGGCCCATCAAAACCTTTATAGCCTTTTACAGTGGTGGATTTTGATTACTGCACTGGTGACTCAGGGGAAAGACTCAACAGTATAGTTCCACCTTGGTGGGGTGGTGGAGATGTGGAGGCTGGTTGTCTTTTATGTCTAGGCTCTGGTCCAAGTCTCCTACACTCTAATCTGGAAAACTTTACAAGAGTAAAGACTCATGAACTAAGGAATTGACACAAGTGATGGGAGTGGTGTGTGTGGGCTGAAAAAGAACTCTATGCTATCGAAC